TTTCTTGATAAGTCTGCCTTCTAAAATAGCTGAAAAGTTACGTCCTAGACAAGAAAAAACAGTTTTCAAGACCAAAAACTCATTCAGCGATAGATCTTGTCGGCTCAAGCATCCTGTTGACCAAATTGGATGAGATTATCTGATCTAATAAATACAATGCAATGATTACTGGGTCAAGTACACAGGTCAAGAAAGTCAATCAGCCTCAGTTTGATTGTCAAGGCATAGGAACCTGCTTGAATTTTGAATTGGCAGATTACACTGAGACCAGTTATCTAGAAAAGTGTCAGTTATTGCACTGTATGCACTGACAGGCAGTCATTCAATTAAGAGTGGGAGGGAATCTGCTATAAATGCCACTCCAGCTGAGTAGAGAGGAAGAGATTGCAAGGTGAATCTTTGGTCATCGGAGCCAAATTTAGCACGTCTAAGAGAAATAAAGCATCAACTATGTCGACATTGTGGGAAACTCTACTTCCAGTGAAAACAAAGAAGATCAGTCAATAGAACTGTCAAAACCAGGTATCAGTAGTTATGTGATTACTTTGATATGACTATAGGCGATAATGTTTGCTCGAAATGTCATCCGGTAGATAATACTGTATGACTATCCACTATGTCGAATAGACAAGTCCAATCTGCAGGCGTATATCTCAACAGCTAACTTTGATACAGAGGTTTGGCGCAGATCAAATTCCATTTCTAGAACTAAGCTATAAAACTACATCGATAAGTCGTCATGGTAACATGTCAACTAGAGAATCTTTGAAAACTTAAGATCAATGAACAGCCATTTTATTCACTACAAGAAGGTGAGTTTCTTGAAGTTCTGTTGAGAAACTGTGACCTATGAGGTTAAAAAAGTTGAGCAGGAGAACGGATGCACGCCGATCATACTGAATCCCGGTCAGTTTATGTTGTGGTCTGACAGAAGCTGAAAATATTGGACTATTGGATCCTAAACCAGTAGCTAGATGGCAAAATACTCAGTGTCAGATCTGACGAATGTGAACTATGCTGATTAGAACAGTTATACCATTAGGAGTCCTTTCATTCTGAAACTACACCTGGACATAGATTCACACATTCAAGTCAATCAATAAACTCCTACGACCAGCCATTGTGTGAGTGAGAATTAAGAGTAGCAAATGAGACATTAGTGATTGACTGTAAAGGTCATTGTGGCAACTATGGAAGTAACCAATAAGGTTTCTCTTATTTTACGAAGAAAAGCTACCTATCCAACTGAAAAAAACAGAAACTAATTTGCTAAGGTAGTTTTTTAGAGTTACTCACATCAAACATAAGTAGAATTCTTAACTAATTCTTGTCGACAAACTTTTGATCTTGTCAAATCATACATATCACTCTCAGGTTATCTCCAGAGTGGGCAAGTAAAAAGTAACAGTACAAAACCGTTCCTATGACAAGATAGATTTCCTGAGGTGTAGAATTTGAGAAACACACCAGTGTCTCATAAAACAGCTGACTTCATGAAAGACTGATGATATTAATCAGAAAAGCACTGGAATGGAAAGAGTTTTTATTTAGTAACCTTATAAAATTCAGCCGAATGACTTTCAATCAGTGATTAATGTCCTAGGATTAAAAATCTCAACATGATCAGTGTAAGTACTGAAGATTTTATCCATTCATATAGATTCAGGTGTAGTACACTGGAACAGATTATTTGTTGCCTACTGGTGGATAACAGATCTGAACTCCACTCCACCTAATTCCAACCAACCAAATAGGAAATATCAAATAATCTTCTTCTGAAGAATTCAGAATGGATATCTAACCTCATTTATTCGTAAATATATGGGAAAGCAAACCTGATACTCCACACAGTCTAATAGTAGCTTAGAGATACTTGTATATGTAATTAAACTCAAGCGTAATACGGTTGGTCAAGTTCTATAAACATTTCCAACAAAAGTAGTTTCAAAAAACATTTTCTTTTGCATCACTGAGTCTCATTTTCCCCATTCAGGCTGTAGTTTATCAAAGTATCAATCATAAGGTCACGTTGTTAGCAAAAATCATATGCGTGTACAACATAAATCTGCCTGCTGCTGTGGAGCTAAGTACATTATTAATACTATGAGGATATTGCCAAGATATGCTCATGGTGATTTAATATATGGTTAAAGGGAAAAGAATCTGGATTAATAACTAGTTCTGTTCTGTAGCATTCTGTTGGGTGAGATCATACAGAATCTATTCATTCGATATAGTATCTTCCATCAGATGAAGTCGTTTAAAGAAACTTTGAATAGATCTTGTTTATTCAGCAGAAACTCGTCTTATTCATAAAGTGAATCTTGAATTTTGAATACATACACGTTTTGTTCAGTCGTTTTGCTCCAGTGGTTTTGTTTCACAACTTCCTGACTTTTATCTGATATATTTTGCTCTATTCTCTTTCCATTCCCTTTGTTACAACCCGCTTTATTGATCTGAATATTCTCTCTCGTGTAAAGTATTTTAGATTCCCAACTGTGTCTTTGGAAAACACCCCCTTCTTAACCCGATTGGTTATTTAATGCCTACAAATTTTTGTTACGTAAGAATGAAGACTGATAACTCCTGTGAAATACTATCGTATCTACCTGTTGACAATTCAAAAAGTTTTGTTACTGACTGGTATTACCGTCTGACCCTTGTTGGCACTTTTCATGATATCTCTGCACTACCATAAAACTCTATCAACTTTGAAAAGTCATTCGACAGCGTCGACTGAGAAGTAATTTGGAAACTGCTTCAACACTACGGAGTCCCACAATCCTTTGTCAAACTCATTCAACAACTATATGCCGACTCCACATGCCAAGTGATTCACAGTGGAAAGCTCAGTGATGCCACCTACTATCACTGATGATCTTCCTGATTCTGGTGAACTAGACTGGATCATACAACAAACTGTGAGGAATGAGAAGATGGTCATACACTGTTTGACCAATGAAATGATACCAGAAGAAGATTTGAATTTCGCCGATGATGGTTTATGTCTAATATCACACAGACTGGAATATCAACAGGCAAAAACTAACAAGTTGGCAGAAAAGGCGGGGCAGCGAAGACAGGACTTGAAGTGAACGTAAAGAAGGCAGAGGTGATGAAGATATCCAACCAACAACAACAACAACAAGCACCAATTACCATCAATGGGAGAAATCTGAACGAAGTTGTCTCCTCCACCTACCTAGACAGCCAACATCATTCCAACTACAGGTGGAGGTGGCACAGATGAAGATGTCAAAGCCACGATCCGAAGGACAACAAGACAGACCTTCATTAATCTGAAATAATCAGTGTGGAGATCTACTGCACTCCACCCCACCCCACTCAGCATAAAGCGTGAACAACATCCTGATTTTCAACACTAATGTCAGTCAAGTAAGGCAGTGCTTCTATGTGATGGTTGAGAGACTTGGTGGCGTGTTACGAATAGCATCTGCAAGAAACTGCAGACATACATCATCAATAGCTGCCTCTTACACTCACTCCATACTGGAGATGGAGGTTGGATGACATGAACGATAAGAATAAGCACCAAGGAACTCTGTCCTAGCAACGAACCAACTAAGAACCCATCGCCCAACAAATATGCAATAGAAGGAAGTGGGGATGGATTGGACATACACTGAGAAAACCATTCGGGGACATGACGCACCAGACCAGGTCCTCGAGTGGAAGTCAAATAGGAAACGACAAGTTAGGTGTGGAAGGCGAGAATGACATGGAGGAGATTGTGTGAGGAAGAAATGAAAGAAAGTTTGTGGGCAGTGGTGGAGCTAGGTGTTAGAAGACTGTAGAGAAGAGAATGAAATGGCGACATGCTACTGAAGCCGTATGTTCCACTGGGAACCGAAGAGACAAATAATAATTATATATATATATATATATGTATATATATATATATGTATATGTATATATATATATATATATATATATATATATATATATATATATATATATATATATATATATATATATATATATATATAGGTCCTTCCAGAAAGACATACCTGATTGATTTCACTTTCTCAACCATTTTAACGTTCACTTGTATAATCACCTGTCGTTTCTCGAAACTTCGGGGCAAAATGATTGGCTGTGAGAGACTTAAGGGATTTACGGCTTTCCCTAAAAGATCCTGGACAATCTAGTTGCACATCATGGCCTAATGAATAGTTTTTTACTTCAATTCGCACTCCTGTCTTTAAAACAGTAAGATTAAATGTAGTCAAGCACCTTGCAACTGAACATTTAATAGGACTATTGTGTAGCCGACTCACTATAGATCATTAAGTAATGTTTACTAGATTTAGTTTGTGGAAGTAATTCTAAATTATTCGTGAAAATGAAGTTGCCCGCCGAAAATCCATCTTAAGTTTTGGTAATTATTTTTACTCATCTCTGTTGTTCACAAAGTGAATATTTGAAAACATTTCCGTTAACGTGCCAATACAATAGTTGAATAATTCGTCACCATTCATCATAACCATGAAGTTTATTTCCAGAGGAGAAGTGTGTATGACAATTCTTGCTTCTTTGTTGAGAAGCTCATTACCGATGCATCAACAAAATGATTCACCACAACTAACTAATTGTTTCTTTCAAAATAATCAATCTAGTCAATTATTGACTGCAGGAACCGATGTGATAATGTTATGAGGATTCCTACCTCAATGACTTAGCTGTGATGTCCATTCGATTTAACTGTACCATGAGCACTTTTGTATTGAATCGTGACAACTTATTACTAAGGGGTCCCAAGTCGGGACGAAAGACCTCTCCAGAGCTCCCTGACCCTTAGTACTTCTGCAGCTGATTTCAATCTCTGATAAAACTAACTTGACAAGGGTAATCGATGTTTTAAAAATTTATATCATCCATTCGTCTTTTCGTTTATTTCTGATTTTTAAATAAGATTTGAGAAATTTTTGACTGAGTCTATGCTCAAGATTACCGTTTACTCACCTTTTATTTTCCAGCTGAACATATTGGCTGTTATGAAGGGAATGGAGAAGATTATAACGGGGATCAAGATCAAATCTCAGATGGACATGTAAGCTGAAAGAAAAACAGTTTTCCCTTTATTTATACCTTGAACTAACACCACCAATAATAATGGTTTGGATTTGAAAGCCAAGTTCGACAAACAAAAACTGTCTTTACACTAAATGGTTACTGGAAGATAACCAATTTCATGTTGTCTAGTCTTAAGGGCTGATCGAATTCAATCGATCATTTTACAATGTTACCACCAGGGTAGGAGGCTCTCTATCAAGATGCAGTGAGATGGATTTTAGTTGGATGCAGGTAATCGACTGGGAACCCTTGACCTAGGCTTTGTGCTTTTTGCAACTTGTCATTGTAGGAAATTGAAAAATGATCCATAGAAATCGATCAACACTTAGGACTAGACTATATGGAATTGGTTACCCTCCAGTAGCCAACCGATGTACCTAACCCAGTCTTACAGGATGTCAGTTGCTGCCCAAATGTCTCAGCAGTAACGTCTGTGACTGTACCACTAGGTGATCGGGGCTCGATTCTCAGGCGCGACATCAGTTTCGTAGAGGTTGCAAATAAGCCTTGCTGATGTGTTCCAAAACGTACTAGACCTAAGTTCAAGGCTTCCTCCCGATTGTTCTTATAAGGAGAAGTGACCTGCGAGGTTAATCAAGTCGAGTGTGAAGGCCGATACTCACTGTTAAACGGCATCAGATGAGAGTAACACAAAATGTGAACCATTGTGTCTCGACCCAGTTGCCTAATCGTAAAATGCTTTCCAAGGAAATTCGCGTGTGCCGGATCTGGTCGCTGACGTAGTTGTGAATGTGCACCGCCGAGGGGTCCTGTAGTGGGACGAAACAGATGTCCATTTCTCCCAGGTTTTCACTGGTTTTTCAACTGATGTTAGTCTGGGATGAGTACCACCTTAAAATCAATAAATCCCCACAAACCTTCAAAGTGAATCATAAGGAATAGTTAACTTTGATGATGCAACAGGTTTATATATCGTGGTGAGGTCAGAAGCTGTTTGATCCTCTCTGAACTGTGAAGTTAGGTCAAAAATGTGTTTCACCATCATGTTGGATGATATCTTCAGTATAAGGTTCTTCATATGGTCGGTATTGATGATATCACCAAGCATGATGAATTAATGTTCACTAAAGAACACTGAACTATGTAAAAACTTTGTTTTTATTTAGATTATGAGTTCGAAAGTGTAGGTAAAATTTTAGGCAACCGATAATTTCTTCAACAAGTTAAGAGAAAAAGATTTGTGTTATTCGTTAAATTTTTCAAACATTTTTCAAAGTCGATTACATTTCCCATCTTGAGGAAAAAAAAGTAATTCATCATAGAAAATCTCCTTCTTCCACGAGATCAAAGTTGTACATTTACATTCATATCTATCACAAATATAAAGCCGTCTATTATTGAGTGATAGAGCACAGCTGCATCATTTCAGAGAAGGATTACGTAATGGTCTATACAATCATAAATCAAATGAGGAATATGGCGGATATAACGAGGTGAAAATTGTCAGTGGTTATGAAATACTACAGTTGACAAAGATAGACAAAAAAATCAACATAGAACCAAGGTGTACAGTATAATTGTTTAAGTTACCACACCTCATACCAGCAAATCAAACAAGGTGAAAGACAAATAAATAAAATAGCAGTCAAATCAGTAGGAAGTCATTTTTTGATAACGAGGAAGATAATACTGAATTCAACATGACCATTAAGGTGAGGATAGTGTGAGGATAAATCTGCGCCACTCAGGTCGATTTTGAGTCATTTCACTTGGAGTCTTCAACTACTGGTTCTAGTTGTCACGAGGACGCCAACCGAGAAGTCTACATTTCCATACACGGTTCAAACCAAAAGTCAAATACTTCAGAGACTGATGCCACGTTTTAGTCTCACCGCCAACAGCCTCCTTTCAACCTAAACCTACCTCAGATAAAATTGTGGGAAGAGGCGGATTGTGATTAGGCATACGTCACACATGCTGCAGCTATCTGAGCTGATGAAGATTCAAAACCACATCGACTGACATTCCTATTCCCCCTCAAACTCTACACCAGACATTGTAGTACCACGAAACACGATGTGTTATGAGATTTCATCACTCACTGACCTACCAAGGCTGATCTGATTTCGTAGGTAAGTGAAGTGGTCAACGCACTCAACCCCTTCACTCCCTATTGCCATATGAGGCATCAACGAACACCAGTCCTAGAGAAGCAATTTTTGTTTGAGTGGCGGAACGTTTATCCCAAATATTATCAAACTGACTCTGCTTCTTGTCGCTGTCTTCATCTAACAGGACTATGTCATCTGTATACTCAAAATCTAATAAGGATTCTCCTGTGATAAGACCTATCACTTTCAAGTCAGACGACAAGGGGAAAACTCCTCCATAATTATGTCCATAACAAAGTTGAATAGGAGTGAAGAGAATGAACACCTTTGACTGATACCATTCTACATACTCAACTCACATGAATTGACACGAATTTCGAAAAGTCACTACTTTAGAGCTGCTCCATTTGACTTAGTGGCGTGCCTATATTTTGAGCTCCCTAAAAGTTTCACACAGAATATGTTACTATGAATTGCTCTTTCTGAACCTGTTTTAATCAGTCAGAACTCAACAAATCGTGTCAGCAGTATAATTTCAAGAAAACGTCACCATAAATGGCACTTGACGTCTAAGCTTACAATAACCCCTCATATTCTTGGATTAATTAGCTGAAGATTTCTTAATGTGTGACTGACAGCAAACTTACTCATGATTTTCTATTCGTACCTCATCCAATAAAATGTTCACAGACTGGACGACAGTTTGCCAATAGCTGGTCATTACATTTTATTACTCATAATACTGTTATTACTAACATTGTCGTCTAAAGCATATGGTACAAGGAGTGGATTCGTTAAATTACACCATACTCCATCAACAATACTGTCTAGAATTATTAATATTACTGAAACAGGACTCTGGTGGACCTAAGTGAGCAGGGTTGATCAAATGCTGAAGAATCGAAATGGTGGTTTATTTGCACTTTCCTCTCAATAATCATGAAGGATCATTCAGTTGATGGTTTGTGAAGATTGACTGATTTTAAGATAGTATTTATCAAGGAGTGACATCAACTGTAGAACCATTGAAGACCTTTGAGCAGTAGGCATGTGTTTCCTTTTCGTTTACAAATCCTTAGCACTACACATCCTCGAAACCTTCTGGGGATAGAGCATAAGACTGTCAGGTTTTACAGCAAAAAAGTTACCACCAAGAATTCACTAATTCCTCTATCGGACTTTTGTCGACTCGTGAGATATCGCAACCATCATCCAATCTTATCCGTGAGAAAATATCTGCTGTCATACTCAACTCTGTGAACACAACAGTCTATGGCTTCTCACAACCAAGTTAACAATGAGTAGTAGACAAAAACTTGATGGGCGGCGTGTTGGGATTGATTGATATAGTTTCGGGATGAACTCTATCCTGAAATCATATGAGTTAATGTTCAGATATGGGTTTGAAAAGTGTGCACATACCCTGGAAAGCTAATTTGATGACGGAATTCCATTATGTTATTTAGAAGCAAACTCTAATTAGGCTTGTTGTGAATGCATAAATACCCCTGAACAGTACTAGACAATAAAATGATCACCAAGGTATATTTTCTTGATTTATTTCTCGTTCAAGTGGACACTTTTGAATTCTTTTGAAATCTAATGACTTTACCTCAAAAACAGAAATCTCAAGCATGTAGTCATAATGAAATTACTTGTCATTATCTGCTTAAAGACCCAGTTAACACTGTGCTCACTGAATCTAGAAAAACACTTAAGGTTAAGCCCACTGACAATTGGAGAGATGAAGGCCAACATGTCATAAAAGCATAACTTCATGTCACACCATACATACATCAATATCATCAGACACAACATACATGAAAACCTGTCGATCAACTTTCTTCTAACAACATTCAAACACTCAGAACAACACAGGACATATGCTTCAATAGTGGGTTATTTACTACATTAGCATATTGTATCCGTCTACTAAGAGACACAAATGCAGTTGACTGTAGTACCTTCCACAGAAGTTCAAGTAACTTACTTATCTGTCATATCTCACAACAACACATTAGAAAGTAGATATGAAAGTAGTTTCAATTGTGTATTGAAATCAGAAAGAAAACCACTGAAAATCTGCATCACTACACAGCTGATTCCGCATAGTTCGAGGCTCACCAGTAGTCGTGTCAAAATGACCGTGTGTGAAATCGACCTCAGCATTGTCGATTTTCACGTTGACCACGTAATCATTTACCCATTGATGGGACTACGCTTCACCATTGACTAGTGACTTACATCCAGATAGATTTGCTGAAGTTATTATAAGAGGTCGTGACTTGTAGGGTGAGGCATATCAAGGGGCATATCAAGGGTGTTGCTTAGCATAGGAAAGAATCCTTGTTCTAGGAGACTTTGGTTACTACTTGAAACTTGGTGGCTATCATCTAGCGGCCCATTTGTACATACCGTTTGGTTCAAAGAGGTGCAAGCAATAACCTATAAGGCATAGATGTAAAATTTCTCACCATGAACGCAGTAGTTGCTGATGAAATCTGAGCTTGAATACAGGAGCAAAGTTTGATATTTATGAACTTGAGTCATGTTTGTGACTGGCAAGGTATCTGAATATCTGTTAAAGGAAGAATTTTCAGCTCTGTAGTTCACTCTATCCTATTATGTAATTATGAAACAGCCGTTGGGAGTAGATGTAAAGAAATTAAAGGTTGACTGAAGTAGATATTTGCAGAGAAAATCAGTGATTTAAATATTGGATTGGTAACTTCTTCGCTAGGGCCTGGATTTGCTGGATCAGTTTCAGCTTAAAATATGATGGACTTTAAACTTGTCTATGTAGATGGTAAATAAAGTCCCGAAATCTAAACAATTACAGGATTAAATCGAGCAGTATGGGGGCTATTAACATAGTGCTTCACTGTGAACGCAGTCTTCAGCACAAATTGGTATCAGTCGAAAAGCGAGTGCGCATTTAGATAGTACTGAGCATCCTTCAGATTCCATTGTGATCCATGAAACCCGTCTCTCTCGAAACCAACCTTATATTCCATAGACTGTAAGGCCACTATGCCATCTTTGTGCAGATCAATGAAGCTTGTGTCATCACTTGGTACTCTAAGCATTGTGGTTGGTTGGACTCTCAGCTAGTGAATCAGGGATTCGAACACCGCACCACCTACCGAGGTTCGTGCATTCAGACAATACACACAATACCTAAAACATACTGTTTATTGGATGGACATGTACATGGTTACGGAGAGAGTTTGGTTTTCTTAGTTTCCTGTATACAGCAAGCATAAAGTTACAAGGTAACATTAGCGTTTTTAACCGATTATTGTTGATGTTAGTTCTGCGGATGTGAATGACGAAAATGATGGACGGTGGTGTAATTGAATTCTACAGCGTATCAAACTTGTTATTTGAAACAAAGCAAATATTATTATTTAACAAGGTAATAATTAGTTCCTAAATGTGTGAGTCAGTTGCGCCTAATTATTGACTGTAAGAAACCATCACAGACTGCAGTGTCTCGGGTCTAAAGTCGGCCACACCATTGTTGGTACAGTAACGGATAATCTCTGAGAGAATACTTTCGTATAATATACTGCTGAATGATTTTAGTAGTCAGAAAACACTACAACTTGTCTGTATTCTTTCGTCAGCCAGATCGGAGTGATCTAAACATCACGACGGTCGGTCGGTTTACTCGTTTGAAGCCAAGGTTATCAGTCTTGTACACAAACAAATCCATTCAGCTCATAGGTTCGAATTTATTCGGGTCCCCTGAATCTTTTTAACTAACTTCCATGGATTAGTATGCGCAAAATGGGATGATCAATTTGCAGATGGTCTAGCGATTGGATTTTCCATGTTGACGTTTCTCACATCTGAGTAGTTTTTTATGGACTTTCCAACTGTTGCGCCAGTAGACTTTCCTTTGGAAACCACACAGGCTAGCGAAATCTATAGAATAACCTTAGTGGTTTCTACCTGTTCAATTTGTTCAGTAATATGCTACGCTAGTGCATGACATTTTGTTTCAGAGATCATATCTTGTGATCTTGGCTGGTTGGTTTTCACCGGGAACTCTGGGCAGTTGAGATAAACTACTCAGCTTTGAATAAATTGTCAACGCGGACGTATAATTGGTGAATCATTTCGAAATAGATCATTCCGTAATTCTGCGTATCATGTAATTTGTTTCATTGCACTGAGAATAAATTGTATTTCTTTGATCCAATGAGATAAATCACGAAAGCAGGATTGATGTTATTTCAGGTGACATTAAAGGCCACCCCAGGAACTGTTATAATAACCAATCAGGTTTCAATATCCTGGTCAAAAAGAAAATTTGCTTTTCCAGCCAAAATGGGAAAATCTAATTGATTGTTTCGAACGTTGCTAGTGTGGCCTTCAAAGTTGCCCTTTAAAGTGAGTGACTTTCGAGGCCACCCTAGGAACAACTAAAATAACCAATTAGATTTCTGTATTTTATGAAAATCTGTTTTTCTCGACGAAATGAAGAAGCCTGATTGGTCATTTCGACTGTTGCTAAGGTGGCGTTTAAAGTCCCTGTATCATTTCATGTGTCAATTCAAAATTATCGATTAGGCTGATAATTTGTTATTGAGTCGGAGAGACTTCCAAAGTCACCCTAGCAACTTTCGAATGCACCAATCAGGCTTTGGTATTTCGCCTGGGGAAGTACTTTTTCATAAAATAAAGGAATATCATTGGTTTTCTCATCAGTTGGTAGGGTGACTTTTAAGGCAACCCCAGCAACTGCTGAGGTAGCCAATTGCGTTTCTGTATTTCGTAAAAATTTGCCTTCCCATACAAAATAGAGAAACCCAACTGGTTATTTCGATCGTTGCTACGATGACCCTTAAAATCACTCGAATTCTCATCATGATATATTGTGGCAGTAGCAAAATATATATGTATATACTTCTTTGAATTGCGTTATTCTAAAAATTTAAGTTATGTAAGGAATATTAGTAGCAAGAAAATTTTACATTGTTAATTAGATTATTGAAATGAGACTGTTAACTGTTACAAAGTTGATATGTAAGTTCTCTTCTAACACTTTTTCCTCCCATAATATGTGTACCAGGTAAGGTACAGTTGAATTCTTGTAGTTGGGTGTACAAACATGCAGTCTTATTCAATTTCTTCTTGTCCTCCCTGAAGGGATACAAGGAGAGAGCTTTGAATGAACTGCATGCTCAGCGTCAGTTGAAATCATTGTAGCTAGTTGCTTGCTAGAATTTAAATGTCTATCAGCCGCAGTGTTAATGAGCTGAATCAGAGACGCAGCACTCACCATACCGATGGCTTTCAAAGTCCTACGCAATATGACGTGATGCTTTCTTAGTAAACCAGGAAAGACTAACGGGGAACAATAGAAAAAAATAGGTAAAATGCAGGAATTAATAAATTGTAAAAGTAGAAGTTGAGTTATACCAGTGAGCCTCAGTTTCTTTATGCTATACGTCAAGCAAAAGATTTTTTCTACAAGTCAACAAGATATGAGATGACTAACAAAGATCAAAAGTTAAACTTAATCCAAGTTACTTAACACTCGATTTACTTACTGCAGAAATGACATCAGTGCAGCAGGCGTCATAAGACTTAGGCAGCTGACACAAATTTTGTTTACGCCTGGGGTTAAAATTAAGTCTAACATTTAGAAGGGTTTAACTTGAGACCATTTGAGAGAGACCATTGGTCAATTAGAGACAGGAATCGATTCAATTCAGGGCAACCTAAATGAGAATTGACTGGAATAGACACCGTCATGTCATCAGTATACTTAATAAAATTTGTTTTAACAGAATAATGTAAGTCATACAAAAACGACGAGAACAGAAAAGGAGAAAGTATAGGACCTTGAGGCACATATGCTTCAGTAAGCAATAAAATGGAGCACTTCCCTTTATAGACAGTATGCTGTTTCCCTTAAGAAAAATAAGAATACAGGCACTTTGTAACCGATGGGTTAGTATGAACCATGGCAAAGTTATTTAACAAGAGTGGTCTAGGAACAGAATCAAAGGCTGGTGAGTAATCCAAGAAGGCACGACGAACATATTTAACACCTTTGTCTAGACTAGAAACAGTACTATGATGCAAGACAGTGACAACATCTAAGGTACTTCTCCTGTGTTTGTAAGCAATGGGTCGAAACATAACATCTGGTCTATAAAATGACGTAGGCACTTAAGCACCTTAGCTTTATTTCATTAGCTACTGTTAGATTTTTAGTATGTCATTTACGTTGTATTGGGATTTGATTCAGTTAGAAACTGTTTATAGATTTCGCCGAAGTTCTTAAAAAGTATTTATTCTATCCGACCAACATAACTGTCTTCACAGCCATAATCTCCACCACATAGTGGTGAAATTTTTAACTATTTGAAGTTTCCAAGGAAAATACACTTTTCGAAGGTTTCAGATAAGCTAATAAACAAGAAGTATCGGTCAGTCATTGTTTCTTGTAGACCAGGTTTCAAATATTTCGAAAGACAATTTATTCCATCTTTCGTATGCCTAAGAATAAATTGCTTCTTCTCCAATGACCTGTGATCTAAAGTCTTAGAGGTTTCATCATCTGATTTAGCAACATCATCAGTACTAACTGCACGCGCCTAATTCATGTTTACTAACTATCTTCATTTAAAATCTTGTCTTTTTATCAAATGATTTAGCCTTGTGCAAAATGGCGTGTCAGTAATTCACGGAAAGATATTAGCACCAGTGGTTATCGATTTCGCCTACATTACAATGAAACAATCAGTAAACTACTCAGTACATCAGATTCAGAACTTGACAATTTCCGCTCATGTCGAAATCCTGGAGGTATAAAATCTCAACCATGGTGTTACCCTCTGAAAGTTCGTGGTGTTTCCACTGGAGTACAATACTGTGATATTCCTAAATGTTGTAAGTAATTTTTTAAAACAATAACTTACATTGATCTACTGAGTAAGGATTTTATCGTACGTTCCTGTTATATATATATAATGAGGCGACTGAAAATACAGTACTGAAGTGAATGAGCACTTGGGGACTACTTACGCTGATCCGTATATTCCACTGGCCTAATCATAATGATCTAAGCATGAAAATGTACTGAATAATTTCATAAACACTTGGTTCGCCTTTCCTTTGTGTCTTTTCAGGATTTCTTCATCAAGGTGTATATCAGAAAGCTGACAAGTTAACGTACGTTAGTTGCCCAGTTTTCTTAATCATCTTACTGACTGTTTGTTTCAGTCCTGATAGAATAATATCAATTAGCTATGCACTGCCACCATCCCTCTAAGAGATGTTGAATTGGTGAGCACCCATTTGATCTCAGTTAGCTGGAGCCAATCTATAGGAAGCTGCGGATTTGAATGTCGTACTTCATAGCTGTCGTAAGTAAAGTTCACCTGAAGCCCTTCCTTCCCACCACTACCTCCAACTAAATATAAAAATCCAAACTAGTTTCATTCGATATCACCTTGCAATATTTCCATTACTTACTGTATTGAGTGACAAATATGAGGTGGTTTGATGCCATATGCTGGAAGCTATACTCAACTAAGATTTTTACGCTTGCTGGAATTCGTCAGTAAGGGGCATCTGAATCTTTGAAGGGACTGATTTCCGTCTATAGATGTCTAAAGAAGGTCGGTTGTGGCCCAAGATTCTTAATAATCACGTCTTTGACTGTAGTATTGGGTGACATAGGTCCAAAGCTGTGAAGGAATGTCAGTTCTCACAAAGTTTTAGATATGCCGGACCGAAGAAAGTCAACATACTTGAAACCCTGGTTGGTTAGGACTTTCGATTGCGTTTAAATAAATAACGTCAGTTTATGTAAACCATGGAGATGGATAGTTTAGCTTAGGGACCATATCAATAAATGATCGACAGAATTCGCCCAGGACTTCAGACTAAACAAAGGGAAATTAGTTATCCTCTAATTAGCATTCATTGTGACTGATACACATCTGTATCTCCGATGGGGTAACATCACTTTTGAGTGTTAACTTTCATAAAACGTTAGTGAAGGGAGTTCTGCTAATGTAAGTATCACCTCAATATAAGCAATTGATATTCGTATGACATAGGGAGACTATTTGGTTTCTTCATAACAGTAATCAATGGTTCCATATTCAATATTAATTCATAAATATAGATTTCTTCGCTTACATTCAATTTGGAATTATTATCATTATTATTTTATTATTAGTCCTTTGGGTTCCTAATGGGAACATAGGGCTTCAGTATCACGTCTCCAGTGAACTCTGTTCTCTAAAATCTTTTCAACCTGGCTCCACGACAGCCCACAAGCTCTCATTTCCTCCTCGCACGACCTCCTCCATGTCACCCTCGTCTGAGACGCCCAACTCGTCGCTTCTCACTGAGGTCCCACTCGAGAACCTGGCCTGACGCGTGATGTCCCCAGTCAGCCTTCTCAGTGTATGCCCAGTCCAATCCATCTCCACTTACTTCTGCAAATTTGTTGCGTGATATGTTCTTGGTTGGTTCGTTTTCAGAGCTCCTTGTTACTTATTCTCACTATTCTGGCCACCTGATCTTCAGTAAGGAGCCAGCGTAGGCAGTTGTTGATGAATGTCTGTAGTTTATTGGAAATCTCTTTCGTAACTCTGCAAGTCTCTGAACCATACAGAAGCACCGACTTGACGTTGGTGTTGAAAATCTGGATCTTGTTCACGCTTTATGCTGAGTGCAGTGCAGAGGATCTACACACTGGTTTCAGGCTAATGAATGCCTGTCTTGCTTTTCCGATTTTGGCTGGCTTTGACATCCTCGTCTGTGCCGCCGCCTGTAGTTGAAACAGTGCTTCTTAGATAGGTGAGGGAGGTTACTTTCTTTAAGTTCCTCCTGTTGATGGTGACTGGAGTTTGTTGCTTTTGTCGGAGTTGTTGGTGCGGTATCTTCATCACTTCTGTCTTCTCTATATTCACCTGAAGTCCCGTCTTCGCTGCCCTGCCCTGCCCTGCCTCTTCTGTCAACTAGTTAGTTTTCGCCTGTAGATCTCCAAGTTTGTGTGACATCAGACACAAGTCATCGGCGAAATCCAGATCTTCTAGGTTCTTTTCCGCAGTCCAGCCAGCGTATCCCCCTCTTCTCGCTCCCCAATGTTTGCTGCATGATCCAGTCGACCACAATCAGGAATATCATGGAGGATAGTAGACAGCCTTGTTTTACTCCTGTCTTCACTTCAAAAGCATCACTGAGCTGAGCTTCCCATTGTAAATTACTTGGCATGTGGCGTTTTCATATAGTTGTTGATTGAGGTGGATAAAGGTTTGCGGTCCGTAGTAATGAAGCAGTTTCCAAATTACCTCTCGGTCGATGCTGTCAAAGGCCTTCGCAAAGTCGATAACACTGAGGTAGAGAGTTGACCACCATTCTATACTCTGTTCGATGATGATGCGAAGTGCGGCGTTGCAATTCGCTCTGCACATGATTTGTACTTGCTGAAGCCAGCCAGCCTGTTCCGGTCGTAGTTTTGAATCCAGTGCATCCTTAAGCCTCTCCAGGATGATGCGGTATAATATTTTGCTTGGGGTGGACAGGAGAGTGATTCCGCGCAAGTTCTTGCAAACACTTAGGCCACCCTTCTACGGCAGTTTGAGAAGGTAGCCCTTCTTCCACTCAACTGGTGGGTACCTTCCCTTCCTTCCTGACCTTCTGCAATAGTGGTATGAGCATGTCCACTGCTGATGTATCTGCGTCTGTTCTCGGTGCTTCTGGTGGGATTCCATGTGTTCCTGCTGCTTTCCTGCATTTCAGTAGCTTTATGTCATTCAGGACTTCGGCTTTTGTTGGAGGATTTGCGTTCACTTGTAGTTCTGTGGCTGGGCTGCAGGTGGTATTTCTGGACGAAGTGCAGGTGGTGTTAGTGGTCGATTCAAGAGCTTTTTGAAGTGGACAGCCCATTGTTTCGTTTGTTTCTCTTCTTTGGTAATTAGATTTCCGTCATCATCTTTCATTGGTTTCATGTGTGTTGATCTCTTCCCTACCAGATAGTAATCTGGTTATTTGGTACAATGTTGTCAGGTCTCTGTCTCTCTTACCTGCAGCCTGTTCTGCTTCACTTGCCAGGGTGTCGTAGAAGTGTCTTTTGTCTTTCCATGCACTCTTCTTCACTTCTTTCTCCAGTGTTTTATACATTGTACTCAGTTCCTCTTGTCGTTGAGCATCCATGCACTGGTTTATCTTCTACTTCACCACCTTCCTCTCCTCTATCAGCTTCCATGTGTCCATCGAGATCCGTTCCTTATTTTCTATCTTATTCCTTCCTAATAGGGTTATGTAGGTTTCTTTCCACATCTTTCCAAAGACTTCCAGTGTTCTTCTACACAGGTTTCTTCAGGGATGATCCTCGATATCTCCCATTTTGTCCTGATGGCTGACGTGAAGATGTACTTTGTAGTTTCGTCCTTCAGTTTCCGAGTGTTGTACTTGAACTGTGGTCTATCATCAGCTTCCTTGTAGGCTTTTAACTTGATTTCGAAGGTTCCTTGCACTAGACAGTGAGTGGTCTGAGCCTACATCTGCTTCCCTTCTTGACCTTGTGTCAAGTAGACTGCGTCTCCACTTTCTTCACATTGAGATAAAGTCGATTTGATTTTTAGTGTATCCTGGTGTTTGATGAAATCCATGTCGCTGGCTCTGTGGATATCCTTGTGCTTGAACACACTGCCTCACTCCAATCACCAAATCGTTGAATGCACAGAATTCTGCAAACAATTCTCCATTCTCGTTCATCACCTCACAGAGCGCTTCTCACCCCATGGTTACTTCTCTTCCTGTGTTGTCTGCTCCCAGTTTGGCATTCATGTAACCCCATCCATTAGAATTTTGATATCGCCAACTGAGGTCTTGTCCAGTGTTGATTGCAGTTGTCTGTAGAATTCCTCCTTTTTCTCTTGCTCTGCATTATTTGTAGGTGCATAACATTGTATGATTGTGACCTTCCTTCCTTTTGAGTTGAACCTTGCTGTCATGATCCTGGAGGAGACTGGTTCCCACTGCATGAGAGAGAGCCTTCGATGCTCTTGAGGACATGATGATAGCCACTCCCTCATTGTGCTCGTGGTTGTCGTCTGCGGACATTCCATCACGTCACGTTTACTTTCACTTTCATCGAGAGAAGACACATCGGCCAATTGGCTTCCCTAATGCCTTCACCAACCGGCGTCATTTCGCCTCTCCGATTCCAGCGAGGAATAATTTTGTTAATATTTTTATATATCGTTTGTGCTTTGAAGTTTGTTTAGCGGTTAGATTTGTTTTCCGGGGTAGGTTTTCTAGCCCTATGCCCAACCTTCCCTGTATACCGGGGCTTAGGACCGGCTAGTTATTAGTGAACTAGTTAACCAGGCGAGGTTAAGGGCGTCCGAAAGTAGCGAACGTGTCATGCCTCTTGAGAGAGTGGGCAACAGTTGCCCTGTCTGACCTTGTGCAGGGGACTGCCAACCATCTCTCCTTTTCTGATGCGCGCTTTAGTGTGGAATAGCAATAAACAAGACATATTTAGAAAAAGGCGAAAATAACAAGTTCTATATAATACAGCTGATTGTCAACTCACAATCCCAACCAATTAAATAACTTCAGGTAAAAAGCAGTAGCCAACTAGCCTAAAGTAAGAAGCTGTGCTCACAAAAGATCAACTAGCCATATGTAATATAGTTGATAACATTGAGAAATGCTACAGCTAACTGTTAGTGAGTATTCAACACTGAAGACAGAACTCTGGGGTGCTGAGTTGATCAGGTTCATGATAACGAAACAATCAGCCGTCTAGAGTTATATTGTCGTTACAAGGATGATACCTTTATAGTTCTCAAAAGTGAGACTGATAAGAATGCTGTTCTGAATAACTTCAGTAGTGTTCATCCGACAGTCAACTTCACAATGAA